AACTTAGCACCTGGTGCCACTCCACTCTCTGCATTCCTCCATAACTTCATTATGAAACACTTATTCTTGCTTTGTATAAATGAAGTTCTCCAGAAGAAACTTTTGAAATAACAGTAGAATAACTTTCAGAATAACCATTTCCTTCTTCATCTTATTCCTCCCAAACTCTGTAACATCCTTCAGACAATGGAAAATAATTTGGTTTCATAATTATCCCATTTTTGTGTAATTTAGAATCTTTAGAACCATTGTCTTGTGCGAATCTGATCTTTGTCCTTGATTTCACAAGCAGATCTTCTGCCAAATTGGAGAGGGGAGGTGGCTGGAGCTCCTGGTTGAATAGTTTGTGTGTGGACATGCACTTTCATACAGTAGCAAACTTATCTGTTTTCACTCACCTGAAACGACCTGCATCAAGTGTTTTGATTAAACTTTGTCTTCCCTCTGTGGACCTGTAGTGAGGATTTAGAATGTTCATTTTGGCAGGAATGGTGCCTATTTACATATTAAGTGAGCTTACAGTCATTAAATTCTCATTTTTTTTTTTTTTTAGCAAAAGAAAGAATGAGGAATGAATATGGAATCTTTATACATCTTAAACATCAACTGCAACCAAATGTAGGTATAATCAGCCAAAAGTTAGGGTAACTTTGGCTTCAGCTCTGGGCTGATGGCAGTAACGATGATGAAAATTTTGATAAATCCTTTTTGTAAGTGGGGATGTTCCCAGGCCAACCGAGAGTGTGAAGGCCTTGAATATGGCAATAAAAAGAGAAGAGTACAACAAGTGTTACATTATGCACAACCCCCACGCTGTCAGGTGAATTATTAATTCAACAAACACTGCTATGCCTGGTTCCAAGGTACAATATTTCTCTATCGTCAAGGGTTTCATTGTCTGATGAGTGATAAGTACATAACTTTCTCCCAATATGAAGTAAGAATGATGTTTAAAGATGCACAATACCTTTGTTTTATTTGATAAAATGGAACAAAGGTCAAGAACAAAAAAAAAGTATCTGGATATTGTTTTTAGAGCTTAAGGACTGGTTATCCCATTTTTCATTAATCATCTTTTTTTCACTGTATCTTCTTCCAGCCATGTATAAAAATGACTTTCTACTGAAACTTTCCATTTTTCTTGTCTCCTCCACTTATGTTATAAAATAATAGACATTCTTGAAAGGTATAGTCTACATGCTTATGGGGTGACTTGGGAGGGTGGTATGGAGAGAATAGCAGCACAACACAGTGATAAATTTTGGGAGTCTAGGGTCATAATATTCAGTTAAAAGTGTATTTGTGCAACTTGATGATCATTAGAATTTGGGAAATTTACATAGTTCTGTAAGCCTCAGTTTCCTCACTTATAAATAGTAATAGTAATGACAGTACTGATCTCCTAGTGATGGTGTGAGAACCAAAGGAAATAGGCTGTATAAAGGGCTTTGAACAGTGCCTGGAAACTTATAAGCAGCCAATAGATGCTTGACTTTTTTATTTGTGCAAGAAAAACACAGAAAGCAACAGAGAGGATTTTTGCGATATAGGGAGGTTTGGTGGAAATTTGAAATCTATTTTGAAATTTATTTTTATTATCTTATTGAACTATAATTGACATGCCATATCCTATTAATTTCAGGCATACATCACAGTAATTCAATATTTTTATACATTGAAAAATGGTTCCCACAATAAGTCTAGTTACCGTCTGTCACCATACAAAGTTATTAGAATATTATGGACTATATTCCCTATGTTGTACATTGTATCTTCATTACTTATTTATTGTATAACTGGAAGTTTGTACCTTTTAATACCCTTCACCCATTTCACTCACCTCTGAATCCTTCCCCCTCTGGTAACCAGTAATTTGTTTCATGTATCTATAAGTCTGTTTGTGTTTTGTTTGGTTTGTTCATTTGTTTTGTTTGTTCATTTGTCTTTTAGGTTCCACATATAAGAAAAATGATAACATATTTGTCTTTATCTGTCTGACTTATCTCATTTAGCAGAGTACCCTCCAGGTCCATCCATGTTTGTTACAAGTAGCAAGATTTCTTTCTTTTCATGGCTGAGTAATATTTGATTGTATTTATATACTACAACTTCTTTAGCTATTCATTTATCAATGGACATATATGTGGCTTCCGTATCTTGGCTATTGTAAATAACACTGCAATGAACACAGGAGTATATTTATCTCTTTGAATTGATGGTTTTGTTTTCTTTGGATAAGTACCCAGAAGTAAAATTGCTAGTTCATATGGTAGTTCTATTTTTAATTTTTTGAGAAACAGCTATACTATTTTCCATCGTGCCTGAATCAATTTACATTCCCACCAACAGTGCATAAGGGTTCTCTTTTTCTACATCCTCGCCAACCCTTGTAAATTTTTTTGGTCTTTCTGATTATAGCCAATCTGACAGATATGAAGTGATATCTCATTGTGGTTCTGATCCTTATCTACCTGATGATTAGAGACTGTTAAGCATATTTTCATGTGCCCAATGGCCATCTTTATGTCGTTTTTTGAAAAACTGCCTATTCAAATTCTTTCAAATTGGGTTTTTAATTGTGTTTGTTTTTTATATTAAATTGTATAAGTTTTAAAATATATTTTGAATTTTAACCCCTTGCTGGATGTATGATATGCTAATATCTTCTTCCATTCAGGTGATTGCCTTTTTGTTTTTTGATGTTTTCTTTTGCTATGCAAAGGTCTTTCAGTTTCAAATAATTCCATTAGTCTGTTTTAACATTTGTTGCCAATGGCTAAAAGATATATCCCCCCAAAATATTGTTAAGACCAATGTCAAAGAGCAATTATGTTTTCTTTTAGGAATTTTATGACTTCCAGTCTTACATTCAAGTCTTTAAGCCATTTTGAATTAATTTTTGTATATGGTGTAAAAGAGAGGTTCATTTTTACTCTTTTGCACATAACTGTCCAGTTTTCCCAACACCATTAATTGAAAAGACTGTTGTTTAGCCTTCACATGTTTGTGGCGTTTTTTTCCCCTAGTTTTCTTCTTGAAATTTCTTGTTTCATATTAATGTGGTAAAAAATATGCTTGATGTGATTTCAACCTTCCTGAATTTATTGAGGTTTGTTCTGGGGTCTAACAAGTTATTTATCTCAGAGAATGTTCCATGTGCACTTGACAAGATTGTGAATTCTGCTGTTTTGGATGAAATGGTCTGTACATGGTTGACTTTCACACAATACTTGGGTTGGAGCACCAAATCTGATGCAGTAAAAAATCCATGTGTAACTTTTGACTCCCCTTAAACTTAACTACTATTAACCTATTATTGACAAGTAGCCTTACCAATAACACAGTCAATTAAAACATATTTTTCATATTATATATATGATATACATACATATTTTATTGTGTTCTTCATGTTATATATATGATATACATATATATTTTATTGTGTTCTTATAATAAAATAAGCCAGAGAAAAGGCAATTTTATTAAGAAAATCATAAGGAAGAAATAAATACATTTACAGCACTGTGCTGTATCATTTATTTATTTATTTATTTATTCTTTTTTTTAATAGTTTATTGTCAAATTGGTTTCCATATAACATCCAATGCTCATCCCAACAAGTGCCCTCCCTCATGCCTATCACCCCCATTCCCCTCTTCCCCACCTGCATCAGCCCTCAGTTTGTTCTCAGCTTTCAAGAATCTCTCATGGTTTGCCTCCCTCCCTCTCCCCAACACTTTTTCCCCTTCTTCTCCCTCATGGTCCTCCGTTAAATTCCTCCTAATCCACCTATATGTGCAAACATATGATATCTCTCCTTCTCTGACTTACTTTGCTCAGCATAACACCTTCAATTTGCTGTTGCAACTTGGCCATGTTGCTACACATGGCCAGATTTCACTCTTTCTCATTGCCATGTAGTATTCCATTGTATAAATATACCACATCTTCTTGATCCATTCATCAAATGATGGACGCTTAGGCTCTTTCCATGTTTTGGCTATTGTTGAGAGTGCTGCTATGAACACTGGGGTACATGTGCTGCTGTGCATCAGCACCCCTGTATCCTTTGGGTAAATGCTTAGCAGTGCTGCTGTTGGGTCATAGAGGAGTTCTATTGTTAATTTTTTGAGGAACCTCCACACTATTTTCCAGAGGGGCTGCACCAGTTTACATTCCACCAACAGTGTAATAGGGTGCCCATTTCTCTACATCCTCACCAGCACCCAGAGTCTCCTGATTTGTTCATTTTAGCCATTCTAGCTGGCATGAGGTGGTATCTCACTGTGCTTTTGATTTGTATTTCCTGATAATGAGGGACGCTGAGCATTGTTTCATGTGTCTGTTGGCCATCTGGATGTCCTCTTTGGAGATGTGTCTGTTCATGTCTTCTGCCCATTTCTTCACTGGATTATTTGTTTTTCAGGTGTGGAGTTTGGTGAGTTCCTTATAGATTTTGAATACTAGCTGTTGCAGGCGAAATGACACAAAGACAAGACACACACAAAAGACAGACAAAGACACAACTCCGGCCAGAGGGAGAAAATTCTCCTCAAGCCCCCTTGCGGTTTATTTTTATACCCCGGTAGCTGGATACATACTGAAATCTACAAAATGCATTCTTTTACCAAATAAGGACAAAAAGCCAAGCAAATTCCAAAGACGCGGGGGGAGCAAAGGGAGGAAGTGACCACAGCACGTTTACTAAGAGACCTGCCCAGAACTCCAGCCTCTTCCTTATTTTTAAGGAGGGCATGTTCCCTCGTATGCGAGTGGATCATTAACTTTGGATATTGTGTGCAGGCCTCTTGGCAGAACATCCTGTTTGCAAGCTTGATCTGCCCATGCAGAGAGTCCTGTTTGCAGGCACATCTCTGCTTCCTTAAGCATTCTTTCTCGTGGTCACTGTCGGGCTCCTACATCTCCCCCTTTTTTCTGAGAAGCAGTAGCAAGCTGTAAGGCGGCAAGAACGCATTGTTTATCCTTTTTTAGTTGTTGCTTTCTTCGCCAGCACCGGAAGACTAGAATAATAACAGAGCATAAGAGTATTATGAACAAGGTATTCCTGAAAGTAGTTCCAATCAGGGTAGATACATGCCCAAGAGGATTCAAATTATTCATCCCTTCCTGTAAAGCCTTTAACAGATTGGACCCAGTAATGTCAGGTAGCGTTTTGCCAAATGTAGACAAAATTTGCTGCTCTAACTCCATAATTTCTTAGTTAGGTTTTGATGCCCTGCTAACAACCGTTTCACCTTTTCCCAACCCTCACTCCTGTTGAAAGGCACAAGTGTTACACATAATTGAGAGGAGTTCCAATCACATTTCAACACACTTTTTGTGGATAAGACAGTTAATTGATCCCCAAGTCAAGAAACAGTATGTTAAAGATTGAGTACATTAGTTGCAAGTTGTGCAATAATAAATGAGAATCTTTATGCCATTCCCGTACAAAGTCTGCTGTTTGGATTCCTTGATGCAAAGCAAGTCCAGCCATGGCAGCGGTTGCAGTTACCGAAGCCATTTCAAGAACTGAAGCTATGATTACTCCAAGCATGTGTCGGGACCAGTGAAGCAAGGTCTATATAGCAGTCACCAAATGAGATACAGCAAAAGAGTCCAACCAAGGTCTTGTCAAATTTACAGGTAGCCATACTTCAGTTCGAGTTTTAACAACCACCAATGAAAGATTAGAGTTGTTGGTTTGTGTTTCAAAATTTTTCCACCATGACTGATTTACACTTTGTGTTAAATTACAATGATTACATGATATAGATCCCTCTGTAGCATTCCAAGTCCAATTCCCATACAACAATGCAAAGGGGTATTTTAGACAAGCCGTAGCAGAATAAGATTTATTAACATGTAAGTTAACATGAAAAGGACCTGAACTGTCAGTCATATTCAAAGTATAGTTTCCTGACCATATAATGAGATTCCCTGAAACTGCCCATAATTTCCAAATATTCCCTCCAAATATTCCCTTGAAAGTGGGGATACCCTAACAATTGCAACTGAGGGGGAACGAGTGCAGACTGCTGCCATTTTACGGTTACATTACCATTACCCATTAAAGTACCATTAATTCGATGCCATTTAAAAATTTTGTTAGACCATTTTTCCAAAATTTGACCATGATCAGGGCTCCAATCTACAATAACAAATCCAGAATAGTTCATGACCTTAAAAGGCCGATGACCTCGGCAACTTTCCCATTCCAAAGATTCTAGAGAAGGAATAAAAAAATTAGAAGGGCATAATGGTATAAAGGTATCAGGATGGTGACTCATCGGCGTCGTAGAGGTGTTGAATCCCCTGGTGGAAACAAGCACAGTAAAGACAGCAGGATGATAGTTATTATGTTTTGCCCCCCCCAGGTATTATAAGAGTGATGATTATGCTCTCTTGTAGAGAGACAAAAGGGATGTCCTCTAATGCACAAGGGGAGGCCCTCCACTACAACAGTAACATTACTTATGTTATATTGATTATTATGATGATACAAATGCTCAATTCCTCCACACGCTGGTGGTGGGAAGAATGCGGTTTCATTGGTGCATACCTGTACTCAGCTTCACCCCAAGAGACAGCTCTCACAAGAGGAGGATTAGGAACATAAGCCCAATAAGTATATTCTATGGCTTGCGCATACATTACCTGACAGGTAACCACAGCCATCATAGCCAACAGCAAATTAGTAGGATTACGAGGTTGACCAGCATTAACGAGAGTTTTCTCAGCCTCCTGTGTAAGCTTCTTCAGTTGCCCCCATGTTGGAGGGGACGCAGATCGGGTAGGGAAGGTAAGGCTCCGCTGTGCAGAAAGCTCTTCAAATTTTCGCACAAAACGGTCATCCATTATGAATCTTGATCAATCGAGTTGGTGCCCAAAACCTAAAATTATCAACAGATATGAAAGCATAACCTCGCCCCAAATATATCAGTGATGCTGGAACCCAACCTTTATCTTTATATTAAATGAGTGTATTCAAGTTCTTCTTATCCTCTTCTTTCCTTTGAAAATGCAATTCTGCTGCTGATAGATTTTCTTTGCTCCAAATATTCAGAAAATTTAAAGTAAGTAAGGTTTTATTCAAGATGTCTTTTGGTTTCATAAATCTCTCCTGTTCCCCCTTTTTCATTTTTTCAATATACTCACGTAAAGTACGATTAGCTCTTTCAATGATAGCTTGTCCTTGACTATTATAAGGGATGCCAAAAGTATGAATATTGGGATAAAAAATGAGCTAATTTTGCAGATTGATAGGCAGGTGCATTATCAGTTTTCAATTCAATTGGTAGCCCATTGGAAATGTGTGCACGTATCTATAGTATGATGGACGCATTTTTGTTGTCCAAAAGATGAAATAAAAATCACATCCATTTGCCATATCTGATTTGCTTGTAATCCTCTTATGTTGACACCTGGTGGGGTAAATGGTAAGGTAAAAGGTGCACAAATAGAACAAGAGTGAACAATAAGATTTTCTTTTTTTAATCCTTTAGAGTTAGTATGTTGCAGACGATGCTCTGGTTTTGCTGCTTCTATAGGATAAAGTAATGCATCAATTATAGCATTTCCGAATGACAAGGGTCCAGGAAGGGCGGAATGTGCACGGATATGAGTAAAGAAAATTGATTCTGAATGCCGCAGAAGCGATTGTTGTACCGGATAAAACAATTTATCAATATCTGTCTTAAGAGTTATAGGCAGTGAAACCTGAGGAAGTTGTAGACAAGAGAACAGCATATCGAGAATCTGAAACAATGTTAACAGGGAGTTGAGGAAAATCTTGCAAAACTAAATAAATAGCCCACAACTCAGCAGGCTGTACAGAGGAGAACGAATGGCGAAGGACTTTTTTCTTTGTTCCAGTCTTGGGGCCATTGTTGAGAAGAAATGACTGAAACATTTGCCCCTGTGTTTATTAACCCTTTAAAGTTCTTTCCTTGTATGGTCAAGGAAAGAACAGGGCGAGAATTCTTGATGAGTATTTCCTATATATATATGTTGCCCAGTACTTTTAAAACCTCCTGACCTTTCATTAGGAAGAGTAGAAAAGGGAAGATAAGATAAAAGAAGTATTTGTGCTATACATTTTCCAGCCAATAGTGAAAGCGTAATAGAAGTGGAAATCATGATTAAATTTTTTCCAACAAAATCAGAGTCTATTACTCCAGGAATTATGGTTAGACCTCTTAAAGCTGCACTGCTGCGGCCCAATATTAAGCCAAAGGTGCCTTTAGGCAATGGGCCAAATATGTTTGTTCTTAATTTATAAATGCCACCTCCTGGAGACAAAAGAACATTTTCAGCGAGAGGCAAATCAGCAGCCGCACTTCCTGAAGTTGCAGAGCGTAAATCTGACACCATTAAAGGTTTGGTTATTCCTGATGTAGTAGCCATTTCTAAGGGTTGTTGGGAAATAAAGGGTTTATTGTCCCAGGCTGACCGTCCCCAATCGCAGGATGAATTCTGAGTCGGAACATCCTAAGTTTGTAAACGAGTCAGGGTGCTGACCAAGTAGTAAACTCAAGGTTAAGACAGCCTATGTCCACACATAAGACTGTGTCTAAGCAGAAGGTCATTCGCGAATGCACAGTGGGAGCTTGGCAACAGGCCCCTGGGAACAGAAAATGGGAGGACAGTGGAGTTGGGTCCTTCCAGGGTTGCGCCCATTTCTCAGAAGTAACTAAAACAGGGGCCGATGCAGAGGAGGGCGGCACCTGGGGAGGTAAAACACGTTTAAGCCATGGAGGGGGGTCAGCCAGTAAGTCAGCCCAGACGACGATATATGGAACCTGGTTCGGGTGGCCCGTGCGGGGCCGAGACTTGCTGTTCTACTTGGTGAAAAGACTCTGAATTTTTTTTTTTTTGCCAGAGAGATTGTGTGTTCGAGCTCTGATATCCTTGAAGTGAGTGAGCAATAGGTCCAGGTGTTTAGAGGGTGTCTGTCCCATTTTGTTAGTCTTAGTCGCCCAGTAATAAAAGTCCAACAGACACAACTGACAGCCACAGACATACACAGAGAGACAGATAACAAAGTTCGCTGTGCTGGGAAACGAAACTGAAACCAGGACGGCTGCGCTGCGGAGAAGAAACAAACTGGGACGAAGGCTTTCGGTTGGATCCTGGGCACAACTTGCCTTGTCCCTCTGAACCAATACAGAATACAGGTTAAGGGGCAGCCCACTGGACATTTTTTCCCCTCCGATACAGAAGGAGCCTGGAACGTCTTCCAGGTCTCCTGAGACCGTGGCCCCCAGCGCGTCTGCCTTAACCACCTTTGGTCGCCTAATACAGATTTGTCTCGAGACCAGAGTTACACAGATAAACACAACAGAAAGAGATTCTTACCAGCTGGATGACCCTCCGGGTCGGGGGTCCTGGAGGTCCTGGGGAATCCCGGGAGAGCTAATGTTGTGTCCGATTTGCGAGTTCCCAGAGACCTCCAAGGAGCCGACACCGATGCAAATACAAAAGGGTCTTTATTATAAGCTCGAGCAGGGGTTCATTTGCCTACCGGTGTCGTGGCAGCAAGATGAAGCGAAGAACAATAGCGAACAGGGTTTTTAAGGAGTAAGGGATGGGGGTGTTACAGTACATGTAGTATCATCACACAAGCACCAATTACAATTTCAGCTTTGACTATTCAGTATCTGTGAGGTGTTCATTACTTTTGGTGGGACCCAATCATGACTTTTGAGAATCTGTTCCTTCATTTTGTGTTTTCCACCATTGTTGAAAAAGTCGGGTCACTTTATTAACCTTGTCGTTCCCGTCGGACGACGAGGAGGACTCACTAGAACTATTAGATTCGGTATTTGATTCCCCATCCCTGGAATGCAAAGCAGCGGCCGCGGAAGCGTCATTTAAAGAGGCAGCATTTGATTCCTTTTGTTTCTCGTTAGGGACTTCCTCATAAACCAACTCAGATTTTGTAGATTTAGTTTCATTTTCTGTAGAAAGCAATGCAAGTGCTTGAGTGATAGCACTACATACAGTCCACAATTTCAAAGGAATTATGTTACCCTTCTGATGCTGTTGCCGTAATTCTTCTGTATTAATTTACATTCCTTTAAGTTTAATTGTACTTTGGGTTGGCACTTACACCCATAACAATGCTGCTCCACAAGGCGAAATAACTCCGATAAACGGCGACTAGATGCCTTCACCTCGGTGGAGTGGAGAAGTCCTTTGACTAGCTCCATGTACTGTGCCTTTGATGATGGGGAATTCCCCATAATTTTCCCGAAAGTTCCCCTGCCTTGGACCTACAATCCCCGAGGGGTACTCACCCTTTCGGTTTCACTCATGTCCCACGTTGGGGCGCCAGATGTTGCAGGCGAAATGACACAAAGACAAGACACACACAAAAGACAGACAAAGACACAACTCCGGCCAGAGGGAGAAAATTCTCCGCAAGCCCCCTTGCGGTTTATTTTTATACCCCGGTAGCTGGATACATACTGAAATCTACGAAATGCATTATTTTACCAAATAAGGACAAAAAGCCAAGCATATTCCAAAGACGCGGGGGGAGCAAAGGGAGGAAGTGACCACAGCATGTTTACTAAGAAGCCTGCCCAGAACTCCAGCCTCTTCCTTATTTTTAAGGAGGGCATGTTCCCTCGTATGCGAGCGGATCATTAACCTTGGATATTGTGTGCAGGCCTCTTGGCAGAACATCCTGTTTGCAAGCATGATCTGCCCATGCAGAGAGTCCTGTTTGCAGGCACATCTCTGCTTCCTTAACCATTCTTTCTCATGGTCACTGTCGGGCTCCTACACTAGCCCTTTATCTGAAATGTCATCTGCAACTATCTTTTCCCATTCCATCGGTTGTCTATTAGTTTTGTGGATTGTTTCCTTTGCCATGCAGAAGCTTTTAATTTTGATGAGGTCTCAATAGTTCATTTTTGCTCTCAATTCCCTTGCTTTTGGGGATGTGTCAAGTGAGAAATTGCTGCGGTGGAGGTCACGGAGGTTGTTTCCTACTTTCTCCTCTAGGGTTTTGATGATTTCCTGTCTCACATTCAGGTCCTTTATCCATTTTGAGTTGATTTTGGTGTATGGTGTGAGAAAGTGATCTAGTTTCATTCTTCTGCATGTTGCTGTCCAGTTCTCCCAGCACCATCTGTTAAAGAGGTCTTAAACAGGTCTTTTTCCATTGGATACTCTTTCTCGCTTTGTCAAAGACTAGTTGGCCATACATTTGTGGGTCCAATTCTGAGTTCTCTATTCTATTCCATTGGTCTACGTGTCTGTTTTTGTGCCAATACCATACTATCTTGATGATTCCAGCTTTGTAGTAGAGGCTAAAGTCTGGGATGGTGATGTCTCCTGTTTTGGTTTTCTTCTTCAATATTACTTTGGCTATTCGGGGTCTTTTGTGATTCCATACAAATTTTAGGATAGTCTGTTCTAGTTTTGAGAAGAATACTGGTGCAATTTTGATTGGGATTGCATTGAATGTGTAGATTACTTTGGGTAGTAATGACATTTGAATATATTCATTCTTCCAATCCATGAGCATGGAATGTTTTCCCATTTCTTTGTGTCTTCTTCAATTTCCTTCATAAGTTTTCTATAGTTTTCATCATACAGATCTCCTATATCTTTGGTTAGGTATATTCCTAGGTATTTTATGTTTTTTTGTGCAATTGTGA